ATATTCTAAAGGATAAAGATAGGTAAATATTTGAGTAGTCGATCTAAAGATGATATCTAAGTCTCAATCATTGAAATATTTGAGTAGTCGATTTAAAGATGATATCTAAGTCTCAATCATTGATTTTAATTATTCGTGAGTAAGACGTCGATCTATAAATATACGAGAGTTGTGATGTGTAGTGTAACCATCTCCCGGTATAAATGGTAACACTGTAATTTGCAGAGTAAACATGTGACTCTTCTTATATGTGTTGTTAGTAGAAAATTGATAGAAAGTCCGACACTAAAAAATGATTTGGAGTGTTCTAAGAGATAACGTCAACAATGAATGAAATGATTACAGGTAAAAGGTATAAAAACTGATCACCTGACTATAAGTATGGTAAACCATTGGATGAGAATGGTAGGTTTGAAAATGTTGTGTATTAGTTAATAACATTTTATTTTTCAGAATTCTGTTTTATAAAAAATATATATATATATATATATATTTTATTTTTCAGAATTCTGTTTTATAAAATATATATATATTGACTAATTCTAAACTTGAAAGTTTTTATATATGAAATTTTTTTCCACATAAAAATTGTTGAGAATAAACAAGGTCTCTTCTGTGTATATTATGTAATTCAGAGTTGTTCCTCCAATTCTGAATTTTTTTTTTTTTTTTCTTTTTCTTTTTAACTACTTTCCTTGTTCATGCAGATTCATTACAATTTTTTTTTTTTTTTGTTTCTGTTTGCCACAATTTCCGAGTCAACAGAGCTACTCTCGTATAGCAGTTGATGAACGGATTTCGTTGTAATATTTATTTAGTTTACTTTTTTCTTCTTTTTATTTTTCTTATATCACCCAACACGTATGCAATGCCTTTTTAATTATTTTTATGTTAACTGAGTAATTTCTCTTAAAACCTTACTATTACATGAAGCGAAAAGAACACAATGGTAATCGGCCCCTTTGATTTCTTTAACCTAAGAGTTGACTTGTGCAGTCAAGGATAGGTAGAGGGAGGGATAAGAAAAGAACATAAAGGTGCTATACAAATCCGAAAAAAATGGCTACAAACTTTTCACTGCCTCAAATTGTCATGAAATAAAAATAAAACTTTTATCAATCACAAAACACAGCACTTATTTGTTAGAACCGAGTCAATCATGCATCATTTCCAACAAAAATAAAAATGTGGTTAGAAATTTTTACAAACATTTTAATTCATTTGAAGTAAACCACAATTGGCTTCGAAGTAAACCTATCAAAGATGTCAAATCACTTTAAAAATATATATATATATATATATATATATATATATATATATAATAATTATAATAATAATATATGGCGATAACACCCCAGGTCTGTCAATTGAACAGTCACACCAAAGACAAGGGCATGGATGGCGAATTTTTGATGGTGACACAACATAGTTGATGGCTTCTGTTTTAAAATTTGGCTCAGGGAGTGTCAATGTAAACAAAGTTATTGACCGTCCGCCGAATGACGTTGACTGAAACCTCAAGAAGTGTCAGCACAATTTATCCAAACAATTTTAAAGGGAAAACCTCACACATCTAAACCCATTGTTGGTGGGGATTTCATGAATTTGTACTCAAGGCCCTATACTAATTCAATTGTCCTATTAAGCCCACCTTTCAATTTATACTGTTCCATTTTTAATTATATATATAAATATATATAAATTCACACTTGTGCGTCTTCTATTTGTGACAATGGCTTAAATTATATGGTCACAGATATAGAAGAAGCATTGGCTGATCCAGAGAGATGGGTTGCTTAGAAGACTTGAAACAAAGATATGACTTGTGTGAGAAAATACAGTCTTGCTTGTCTTTTTGTTTTGATAATATTTTAAGGAAGATTCAATTGGGTGCAGACCATTTTCAAAAAACTCCCCACCTTTTGCTGCCAATCCCATATTGACTAGCAGGGATGGCACTAGTATGGTACATTTTGTTCGTAATATATGTATAAGTTATAAGTATATATATTTCAAAGTTGCAAATAAGGCCATGTTGGTAACGTGTGGTTAGCGTTAAAGTGTAATCACCATTATGTCCCTTGAAAAGAAATGTCAATATATATATATATATATATATATATTTAAATGGGTAAACTTTATAAAAAAATATATATATGTACAATATAAGTCAATCAACCACCCCCAAAGGAACATTCTCCTTGCTGGTGCCACAATTAGCCATACAAGGTCATGCAGAGAAACCTACTACATTCTAAAAATTACATTACAGCCTTAACTAACCAAATGGAGAACAAAATAATCCAGTTCATCAGCATTCAATACAGTGGAATAGTATAGTAAACCAGCAAAGTGTATCAGAAAACCTTCAAAGTACGATCCATCCCAACCAGAATAAGAGTGAAGATAATCCAAACTTAATCACAGCAGGAACCATGATTGGCCACTTGCAAAGGAGCATCCTTGAATAAGAAGCTGTTGCATTGCCCCTAAGGAACCAATCTTCCTTAATTCAGCACCATTTCTTAGCTTGAGAGAAGCAAACCTTACTCTGATGGATCCCTTGATGAGGTGAATGATGTGATAAGCCGAAGCTGATTTGTTTCTAAATGCTCTTGCATTTCTCTCTTGTCATATATTACTAGTACATATGAATGTATATATCAGTATACATACATATATGTGTATATATATTACTGACCATATCCCTGAATAAAATTGATGGATTCCATTATAGGCGGTGGTGTTTGGTACTTTGTTGTTGAGGTAAATTTTATTTTATTTTTTTCTTAATTGGTTGACCTGTCAGGAAATTGTAAGATGGGACGGCTTTGAACACAAAGAATAATATATAGTGAAATATCATTAGAAATTGAAAGATAGTATTTTTAAGATTTAAAAAAAAAAAAAAAAAAAAAAAAAGAAAAGAAAAAGAAGTAAGATATTTTTAAAATTTTACAATTTTTATGAGTAATTTTGTAAACAAAAAAATTGATCATGGAGGGTGGCTTGACGTTTGCCGTATACTTGCCATGATTATTTTATTTTATTTTTTCAGTTTGCAAAAAATACATTTATTTTTCTCTTTTGAGATTAAATGGTCAACATCCATTTTGAGAGGTAAAGAAGATGTCACTAAGTTTGAAAGCCATGACATAATATAATTATTAAAAAAAAAAAAAATTATTTTTTTAAAAAAATGTATCAAGATATATCATTAACTATTTTTTCTTTTCTTTTTCTCATGCACAACTTTCCCACACAAATCATCCGTGTGGATTAAGGTTAAAACGATTCAAGCCCTGTAGGCGGCAAATCATGTCTTAATCAACAAACCTCTTTAATTTTATAATACTTTAACTCTTTGGTGGCATGAAATTAGTGTTTTAAAATTTAAATTGATTTTTTTTTTTTTTTTTTTTTGTAAGATACCAATTTATTTCAACCTAATAGAATATTAGTGTAAAGTATTTTTTTTTTTTTTTTTTTATTTTATAAGATAGCCATATCTGCATTGTCCAAGATAACTGGTGGAGGTGAGTTTTACGGAATTGTTGGTGTTCATAATGATAAGGGGTTTGGTGGGTTCCTTTTTATTTGGGATTGTGACTTGATTATTTTCGTTGGCCATGTTTGGTGCCAGAGATTGGGATTTTGCATTTTCAGTAGGAGAGAGCTTTGATACTATAAAAGGTTTAAAAGAATGAGAAAATTATGGCCTATCCTTTTTATTGAGTAAAATCATATATATAGAGAGTATAACTGGAATCATATTCTAAGTAAATCAAATTTTATAATAAGGAAACTAAATAACAATCAGGATTGTATCTATTCTAAGTAAGTCAAATTTTACAATAAGCAAACTAAATAACAATCAAACTAAGAAATCCTAATAATATGAGATTATCCTATTCTAAGTAAGGAAATTAAATAACAATCAGAAAACTACCTAGATAAGTATAAGAAATTCAAATTAAGAATTCTAAGAATCCGAGATTATTGATTTTCTCTATCAAATGATAGTATTTTTAAGATTTTCACAAAAAAGAAAAAGAAAAAAGAAAAAAAAAAAAAAGAAGAAGAAGAAAATATTTTTAAAAAAAATTAAAATTTTTATGAGTAATTTTGTAAACAAAAAAATTGATCATTACAGATGGGATGGAGGGTGGCTTGATGTTTGCCGTATACTTGCCATGATTATTTTATTTTATTCTTTCAATTCGCAAGTACATATTTATTTTTCTCCTTTGAGACTAAATAAAGAAAATATCATTAGGTTTGAAGGCCTTGATATAATATAATTATTAAAAAAAAAAAATTAAAATTTATTTTTTAAGAAAAAATGTATTAAGATATATAATTAACTTTTTTTTTTTTTTTTCATGCACTTAACTTTCCCACACAAATCATCCGTGTTGATTAAGGTTAAAACGATTCAAGCCCTATAGGTTGTCTTAATCAACAAACCTCTTTAATTTTATAATACTTTTAACTCTTTGGTGGCATGAAATTAGTGTTTTAAAATTTAAATTGATTTTTTTTTTTTTTTTTGTAAGATACCAATTTATTTCAACCTTATAGAATATTAGTGTAAATTATCTAATCTCAACTGAGATAGTCTAAAAATAGTAAAATAATTCTCAAATAACTAAAATAAAATTTTCAAATATCGAATATTTGCTTAATCTATTTTAATGATAGAATTTTTAAAATTAATAATAATAATTAATTTTGTGGGTTTTTCTGTTTAATATATAGCTCAATGTAGTTGCTGAATCATGAAAATATGTGAGGCAGTGAATGAACGGCCAGATCTGTGCCATACTTGAACGGTAGAATCAACCACCAGAAACCTCTACCTTTACCACGACTACTTTAACCCCACGTACTCATTTTATTGGCACCTGCCATCCACGTGGCAGTCTCTGGATTCATCGAAAACATCGACGCATGCATTCACTTCAAAAAATCACACAAACTTACCTTCTACCATCATTCACTTTCAAAACTTTCCACAGAAGAAAGAATTCTAGAGAGAGAGAGAGAGAGAAATGGCTCCCAAGAAGCGTTCAGGGAAAGGGGTTACCTCTGTGGTGAAGACATTCCAGAGTACAGTAGTGGAAGAAACAGTAGTCACTGTAGTACGAACCAAACAGAAACGTCCACCCAGAGGAGAGAAAGAGGATACACCATTGAAGACCATCCCTGTTGAGGACACATCACAACAAGTAGAGAGAGAAGAAGAAGAAGAAGAAGAAGAAGAAGAAGAAGTTTCAGATCTACAAGAAGATCAGGAAGTCCCTACTAAGGCTACTAGTCCACCAAAACTTGGAGACCCACAAAAGAAACAAGAAGAAGAGGAGGAGGAAAAGAAAAAGAAAAAGAAGAGCAAGGCACGAAGAGGGAAAGGGAGGGGAAAGAAAACAACCCAAAAAGGGAAAAGGAATCTGAAGGAGAGGAGAAAAGTGGGTGGTGGTGGTGGTGTGGGTTATAAGAGATATGTGTATAAGGTTATGAAGCAAGTTCATCCAGACATGGGTATATCTTCGAAAGCGATGACGATACTGAATAATTTTATGACGGACATGTTCGAGAGGTTGGCCGGGGAGGGGGCGAAGCTGACCGATTACTCGAGGCGGAGGACGTTGTCGTCGAGGGAGATTCAGGGAGCGGTGAAGCTGGTTTTGCCGGGAGAGCTTGGGAAGCATGCTATGGTTGAGGGGACTAAGGCCGTCACTAACTATTTGTCCTACACAGGTGGACGGTCTTAAGTCAGAATTTTAATTTCCAGGCAATTTTGGTTTTGTTGCTTTTTCTATTTACAGTCATTTTTTTGCCCATCGTGTGGAAGCAGTGAAAAGAGTACCTGGAAGAAGTTTCTTTTGCTATGTTGGTCATGTTACAGTATTCAGTGAAAATAGTACCTGTGTGGAAGCAGTGAAAGAAAAAAAAAATGTTTTTAGTTGTGGCTTTGATTTTTTTTTTTTTTGGTTTGTTTAGTTGATTTAATGGCCTTTGATCTGGTGGCGTGTAGGGTGGTATGGCCCACTAGTCTGACATGGTTGGTTTTGTATATGTATTCATGCGTTTTTATTGGTTATTTATATTATTATATATGTGAGTATCGTGTTTCTTATATTCGCTTGTCTCGCTGTTTCATGTTAATGTTGGAATGTTTTGGCGTCCTAATTTATTATATTTGGGAAAAATAGGCGAGTTAGGAATCTTAAATGGCAATTCAGTCAAGTTTAAACTTTTTTTTTAACTTTGGACAAAATAAGGTCCAAAATACTTTTAAAATTCTTATTTTAAAATATTAAATTATATAATTTATTCATCCAAAAAATATATATATATTGAATATACAGCTATATTGGTTATGTTGCGGTCACCACTATTACCAAGCCTGAAGAATGAAGGTCACCACTATTACCAAGCCTGAAGAATGAAAGCAGAATGAAAGCCTGAAGAATTAATTGCAGTTATGTTGATCAAGTTACAGTCATCACCATTACCAAGCCTAAAGAATGGATTGCTTTTAATTGTGATATACATCTACAAAAAGAAGAAAATAGGTATTATGAAGAATGGATTGCTTTTAATTGTGATACACATCTTCAAAAAGAAAAAAGGTGTTCGGTCCTACATGCCTAAATTAATGAGCATCAGAAAGAGAGCATTTCTTGGACTTCTTTTAGCCAAAGGCATGCCTTTATACAATTTTTTTATTTTCTTTTTATATCTATATATTTATTTTAACTTTTCAGGAAAAAAACTAATGAGCATAAAAAAGAAATATAGTATCAAAATATTATACATAGTGAGGTACAAAGATAAAAAATAATAATGATAATAAATTTTTACAATTACACTCATATAAATTTTAAGAACAGGCTGCAAATACATTCCAAACGTGAGCTTTATTATCAAATAAGTTATGAGCATGCAAATACACACCAAATTTGTACTTTATTATCAGTCATTTACATAGAATGTGCCTATTCAACATTTCAACCAAACTTTTCATCAAATATATGAATTCCACATTTTATTTTGACTATTTAAAAGTAGAAAACTAATTCTAACAAATTAAAAATCGATTTGAACAAACAAATATAAATTGGATAGTTGATAATGACATTTTAAATTTTTTAATAAGGCAACTATTCATCGTAATTTAAACACCTCATAATATGGAATTGAGTAGAATTAACATTTTTCTAAATTTTTTGAGTGAAAAAAATTATATGATTTTAAGAAGAACATTCTGGTATTTAGAAATAAGACTTTAGAAGACATTTTAGGCCTTAACAATGATTCTTGATATATATGTAATTATTTTGCCTAATTCAATCAATTTGAAAAATTAACTTTAAAAATAGATTACTTTGTTATTTAAGGCCCTAACTCTACTTATGTGTTGTTTTCCCTTTATATTTTATAGGCTTATCATCATTCTCCTCTCATCTAGCCCATTGGTATAATCTTCGGGCAAGATTTGTGTACAGAGAGTGAAAAAAAATGTTAGTGAGTATATTTTTTGTCAATTAAAAAAAAAAAAAAAATACATTCATGTTCGGTTTAATATTATTAATATTTGATTAATAAACAAAGTTTAAACTGCAGTAAATCTAATTAATTTGAATTTTTTTTTTTTTTCGGGGCAAGGTTAATTTATTTGAAGTTGAAATGTTTTTTTTGTTAAAAACCAGTGTCACAATTAATGAACAAGTAAAAAAGAAACCAATGTCAGAGACTCACAGTGAGGTACGAGTTATACGATTCCCAGTGACCCACACAATCATAGCTGCGTTGATATTTTTCTGCTTTAGGCCCACCTTTAAATCTAAGGAAACCCTCAACCAAGTTTGGTTGCGTGAATTGGGCTTTTAGTCGATGGGCTTACCCGTCTAACTTGCCCATGTAGTTCTAGTCCTGTCCACCGGCCCATTTCGATGGCCACGTTTTCCATGGGAGTCAAAGGACCAAGAAAAAAAAGAATCGATTTGGCATAATGTATCGTACATTATGCCAAAATGGTCAATATTAACTATAAACCATAAATTTAGCATGGATGAAATCTCTTAAAAATTGTTATGACAAACCAATCAAATATCAAGAATCATTTCATAAAAGTAACACACATGCACACAAATTACGAATGCGCATGGTTTGACAAAGCTTATTCCAATAGCGAAGATCTCACAGTAAACATATCAATAACGGTGCTAGCAATAATGCATCCTCTGCCATAACAACGGTGCCAGTAATAGTGCGTCCTCTGTCATGACAGTTGTCATGTCAGACACAGTCAGCAGCTGTGCTAACAATAGTGCCACATCAATTGTTAGACACAGTTAGTAGTAATGCCACGTCACCTCCCACGTCAGACACAGTTAGTAGTAATGCCACGTCACCTCCCACGTCAGCTGTTAATCGTGTTTCTATCTTCATCCTGCTTCCGCGGCTTTCAAGATCTTAATTATTTCCAAACTCAAGATGGTTTTATTCAATCCACCTTGATTTTGATGGGACTGTTATAATATATTATTACTATTTTGTAGAATATATTCTAACCATATATAGGTTTACAATGAATAAGTTTAGGTTTCTTACTCTCCACACATTTCGTTACCTATATAAATCCATATGTATTTTCATCTCATACACATCAATAATACAAAATACAGTTTCTCTCTTTTATATTTAAAAATCACTCCGATAAATGTGTGAAGATCAAGAAATCTAAACCATATATGATAAACCTATTCATGATAAACCTATACATGGTTAAAATATATTAATAATATATTCCACAATATATTCTAATAGCACCTCAAAATAAGATGGATTGAATAAATCCATATTGAATTTGGAAATAATTAAAATCTTAAAAGCAGCATAGTGAAGATGGTTTTCACCCATGACGAAGATGGAGACCCAATTAACAACTAACGTGGCAGGTGACGTGGCACTACGGCTGGCACCGCTGTTGACTGTGTCTGACGTGGCACTACTGGCAGGTGACGCGCGCACTGCTACTGGCACCGTTTGTTAATATGTTTTGGAGGCTGATTGGGAGATCAAATAAGGCTTTTGTTAATTATGAACTTGAGAATAAAGGTTGGGATGCGGAAGCATAAGTTTGAAGGTTGAACTCCGAAGGTTGATCGCTAGTGACTACGATAAACTGATAAGATTGTTACTAGTAATCGAAAGGCTCTAACATCATATTAAATATAAAAGAGAGAAACTGTATATTATATTGGTGTGTATGAGATGGATATACATAGGGATTTATATATGCGATGAGATATGTGGAGAGCAAGAAACTTAAACTCTATATGATAAACATATTCATAGTAGACCTATACATGATTAGAATATATTCTACAATGGTGTAATAATATATTCTAACACTAATAGTGAAAATCAAACACACATGTATACAAATTAAGATTATGCGCATGATTTGACAAAACTTATTCTAATAGGGAGGATTTTGTAAAAGATTTCAGTGCGAAGGGAAAAAAAAAAAAAAAAATTAAAAGGTTTTGCTATGAAAAAAAATACTCCGTAGGAGGAGATTCCTAAGCTTCAACAGTTCTCTCTCTTTAATGATTACAAACCTTATTTACTGAGTTACGGAGCACAAGAAAATTTTTAAATTGGATTTATTACGGGTCAAAAATTGGATTGGACGCTAATTGGGTCGAAATAAAATTCGGCCCCTCCATCATTGAAATTGCTTTAAAAATTAAATATATTGATCATTGACTAAGATGAAATAAGTAAAATAAAGGAAAAGGAAAAAGAAAATGAAACAGAGCATTGATAATTGAAGGCACGAACAGAAAAGCAGAAGTTTTGATTCAATAATTAATGTATTTATTTTTCAAGGTACAATCCCAATTGCAAAAAAAGAGAAAACCAAACCATAGAGCTTCATCAATCAATAAACTACCGAAAAATCTTAGGACCGAAGTAACTGACACAGGAAGTCCTGGTGAAATTGTTTGATGAAGAGAAATGTGGAGCACAAAAAATCATTAGCCTATGGTGTTTGGTCTTCCATACTCCCACCTTCAACCTTATCGTTGCCTCGACCTGAACCTCGGACCCGACCTCCCCTGATGACTGCTCGAGCCCCAGGTCTCTAGCCACTGGCTCGGACAGCAACACATTTTGAACCACAAGCTTCACCTCCAACATTGTCACATTCCGGTGAGGCTGAAAGAACGGATCAACGGTGCAGCTGGCGACAGGCTTACCTTCATATTTCATCTTTGCTTCAATCTTGTCGTAGTAAATAGAGAGCTTCTTGTTAGGATTATATGATCTTAGGACAAATTTGAAGGTGGCATTGAGATGGTTGTTGGTTATGTTAAAGTCATGGATTGAGCCATCTTCAATGCGGTACTGAAGCCTCTTTTGAGTCACTATTACCCATCGACTCATCGCAGTTATACCCACAAGGAAAACCAGTCCGGCTATCAAGAATATTCCGTATTTCAATGGCTTAGAGGGCTTCGCCGGTGCTGTTGCAGGTGGTTGTGCCGTTGCCGGTGGTTGAGCCCGTGCTGGTGCCGGTGGTTGTGGCTGAGGTTGATTAGACATTGTAAGGGCAGAAGATTTGCTATGCTGAACTTGGTCAGTTAATCTTAGCTGTTTTCAATACAACACAAAAGGTAGAGAACGTTTATTTACAAAAAATACAGTAGGGCTCCTCTATATATAATGTGGTGTGTGTGTGTGTATATATATATATATACCTGACTCACCCTACAGTAACAATTCCACTTATATATTGAGTTTCATACAAGAAAAGCATAGTAAAAAGCATTTTAGATGACAAAGAAAGGTAAATGTGAAACACATGTACGCTCAATTTTACAGATGTCTTGAGTTTCACATAAGGGACTAAAAAAGGACGGGACATTCTCTTTATCTTGCTCAATACAAAATACAAGTTACACAACCAAAAAAAAAATTTACCCTTATTGTAAGCGGTCGGATATTTATATAAATATGAATTATCTTAGTTGAATTTAAAGTACCTTTGATTGCTCTTAAAGGTTTTATACTACATATATATGTGTGTGTATAAAGAGCCGCTGAGTAATGGATTACATTAAATTATATAGTTGATTAGTTTATTACATTAATTATAGGGTCATTTATATAGTTGGAATCGGTTAGTACTCTTTAAAAATAAATAAAAAATAAAAAAATGGGTAAAAGTTTGTAGTTTGTGTTGCTAATAAATACTTTTTACCCTTTTTATTTATTTTTATTGTGTATATAAGTGTTTTTGTTTAAATTTTAGTTTAAATTTTACTTTTCACTATAGGGTCAACGATTTAGAGTATTAAATTCTTACTTTCAAAAGGAATGTCAGAATTTAAGCTTCAGTGAAGACACGTGTGTATCAATATCAACTTAAAAAAAAATATTACTTAAACCACTCATCAGACACTCATTTTATCTCTTTAAAAACTTGGATCATCACAATCTACTTTGAATAAAAGAGAGATACCATCTTAGATTATATATATATATATAAATAAAGGACCACGTTGAGTCACTAACATATCATTTTATTATTTCAAAATGCTACATATGTTGGATGGAATTTAACATCGGTCCGGGTATGTAGCATGTCCTCTTCTTGCTACTTTGTCCGAGTATGTAGTATGTCTTCTTTCTATTAGGACTTTATCCATCTTAGATTCTTAGTTTCTACCGTGTATGGCACCATATTTCGTAGTGTGAGGAATTCAGAAAACAATAATTAATTAGGAAGTAGAAGGCTTGAATTTAACATTTGCTTAATAAATAAAATCAAATAAATAAAGTTGTATTGTTTTGTAGAGGTGTAGTACTAATAAAATGATAATGGAAATTGTACCGTTACAATTTCATCGATAATTTAGGCCCTAAAATTTTGTAAGGCTAAGATAGTACGTATATATATTTTCTGAATTATAACAACTCCATCCAAACGTTGAGGGGAAAAAATGAAAAGAAAACGATACTGAGCATTCATTTTCAAGATACAGAGAGAAAAACCTAAGTTTTGGATTCAATACATACATATATGCATACATATATATAGGTTTTCTAGGTACAATCCCAAGTGCAAACATGACAATCATTAACACAATTAATTTAATGAACAATGAAAAGAGAAAACAATTGAAGATCATCAAATCAAACCCCACCCGCAAAAGAAGTAGCTAGGAAGCACAGAACAGGTCGATCACATATCAACGTTACAGAAAGTCCTCTCAAAAAGCTTTGATGAAGAGAAGTGTACCAACACTGGAGCACAATAAATCCTCAGGGTCCGGTGTCTAGACTTCCATTTTCCCAACTTGAACCTTATCCTCGCTTTAAACCGGACCTCCAATTCGACCCCACCCGATGACTTCTCGAGCTCCAGGTCTCTAGCCACCGGCCGGAACAACGACACATCTTCAGCCGCTAGCTTCACCTCCAACCTTGTCACATTCCGGTGTGGCTGAAAGAATGGATCAACAGTGTTGTACGCGACATTCTCGTCGTCGTAATACACCTTTGCCTCTATCTTGTCATAGTATATAGACACCTTACTGTTAGGGTTATATGCTCTGAGCACAAATTTGAAGGTGGCATTGAGGTGGTTGTTTTTGCTTAAGCTATAGCCGTGGATTGAACCATCCTCAATGGTGTACACAAGCCTCCTTGGCTTCACCACTAGCCAAATGGTGAGCACAGCCACACCCACGAGGACAACCAGGGCTAGCAACACTATTGCAATCAATCTCAGTAGCTTCGAGTGTGCCGGCCGGGATGCCCGTGGCTGCGGTGGATTAGGCATTGTAAGGGAAGATGATTTCTTGTGCTGAATTTGGTAGGGATTTCTCAAACTCTGCTTGTTTTTATATAGAAAGAAACTACATTAGGCCTTCTCTATAAAATTTTATTTTGGTGATCTGTATTTGTATGGACTAAGATGAGGGAATGTCTCTTTTCCTTTTCCATCTGGGCACCTTTAATTTTACTTTGCATTTCTTGTATGAAACTCAAGACATCTATGGAATTGAGGCCACATTGTTCCTCAGAGACACATATGTATGTTAATTAGATTTTCCTATATTAATTATATATGTGAAAGTAATGTATGCCCGGCCTTTTTTTTTTAATGTAAAAGTTAGTACTTTATATATAATATATATGCTTAACTTGAGGGACGAGAAAGGAGGGGAGTTTAACTGAGAGCCAAGCAATCTTTTCATGGCTTTTGAATTCTAGTAGCCCCTAGCTAGGTGATTCTTGCTTTGCCTACAAGGTGTTCCAAAGCCACCATAAAGTTGTTCATTAATTTAAATTTCCTTTGATTGAAAATCAATAATTAAAATTATTAATATTTATTGAAATTAGCAGTCACATAATGGAAATTTTTTTTTTTGTTTTTTTTTTTTAATTGAAATCAAGTTAGTACTTAAATTGACTGAATATATGTAAATGTGATTTTTGCATAATCAACCAGAATTTATGCAATATAACAATAGTTAATATATTAAATTTTACTAAATTTTAAATGAAATATATATATATATATATATATATATATATATATATATATATATTAGTAAGTTTTGTAAATTTAAAATCAAATGTAATAACATTCGATTAAACATTTGTAGGTGCATAAAATTTCGGCACAAATACAATGATTCTACTCGAAGGATTAAATACTCAAACACTCAATTAAGAACATGTCCATTAAGAACATGCACAAACAGGAGAATAGAAGAATGGAATTGAGATCAAGGAAGAACAATGGCAAATAGCAATGTGAACCGGATGCCTTTCTCTGGACTTTGCCATTCGTATTTATACTAGTTACAATTAACCCTTACGGCCGTCACAGATATTGCTTTGAATGTTTGTTATAGCACATCATTTATCCCAGACGTTACTGCCAGCTACATTTGCCTGCTGTCTAGGTTGGGCTTGATGAGGCGGCTCATGATCTTGAAAGTGCTTGTGGCGGTTATAGCCCTAGGATTGTTTCTGGTATTGGGTTTCTGCATGTTGGGCTATTTTATTTGGTTGGGTAAGGTTAGGCACAATCTGTTGTATATACGGGTGATGATTTTAATCTTCAAGAAGGTAAAGTCACAGTGACACAGACATGGTGATTCCTGATTGATTAATGGTCTAGTGACCAATGAAATTTATACCAATTGAGAGTCCAGTTGACTCAGCTTTTAATTTAATGAATTTAAATGAGGAGGCCCCGGATGACATGGGCCAGGTCCGACTCGCAAAACACAACATTCAGTCCGAACAGCTGGGTCAGCCCATAGAAAGACACTGCCATATGGGCCGAACGGGAGTAAGCCCATCAAGGGTGACCAGGGCTTACAGAGGAATAAGCCCAGATCCAGCAATCAGTAAATATCTTGTAAATATCTTGTAAATATCTATAAATAGGAGTTGGAATGAAGAGGAGGGGGATCTTTTTCGGGTTGAGGTGTAAGAATTCTAGAGAGAGAAAGTATAGGAGGAGTTTCTTGCATCTTCAATTGGCGCTGTCTGTGGGAAACGCATGAAAGTTTGGTTGATTAATGAGAAGTATCGAATGGATTCAAACCAATTCGGTTAATCGAGACTTGATCTTGGGGATTTGAATCCAGATCTGAGCGATTGTGACCTACTCTGGAGGAATTACAATTCTTGAAGCTTTGGCAGGAGTGACTTCAGATCTACGCAACCACGAGTTGTTCGATCGTGGCAGGATCTGACGGATTTAGAGTTCAGACAATTCAGATCTCGTAAACAGTGAGCATAATTCGGAGAATTAGAAGCCAGATCTAAAAATTCCTACTCACGAAGCTCAGATCTACTCGCGAACTTGAGATTAATGCCTTTACTCCGTTCGGGAATAATGATAGGTGAAAGCTCCAATCCGATGGAGGCTGTCCAGCAAACAAAGCTTGAAGAGTTGATGAACTTGATTGAAGCTCTCAGGAAAGAAAATGCAGAATTGAAAGCTGGACTGCAGCATCGGCAAATACCTGCGGCTTCGCATCCACTTCCGGTCGGAGAAGGAGGTGTTCCATCTAATATCGCGCATCAAGGCGATCAGGACGAGAACAATCAATCAGCTCACCACCGTGATGAAAGGATGATGGACAATTTGCCGCCAAATGTTCGTCGAGTTGAAGATCACGAAAGATCGACTCACGTTGATCCGCAGCGGGAAAGGTTTGACCGAGAGGAAGTGATGGAGGTTGATCGCCGTCGAGTAGCGTCGCCTTGGCAAAGAGAGTTCATAGAGGACCGGTCGTTCGATCCGTCTTACCGGCCCTCCATGGTTACTGCCACTCATCACGGTTCGGAGGTCAGAACCGTAACTCACAGAGCTACCGCTGGACTCCAGAGAGAGAATGAAGCTCTCCGATCCGCAGCTCGGACGGTGGATTCACCATTCACCGACAAGATCTTGAATGCGCCGCATCCAAGGAAGTTTGCTATGCCAGTCTTTATTCTGTTTGACGGAACAACCGATCCGATCGATCATGTGTATCATATCCAGTTGAAAATGGCCCTGAATACGGAAAACGACTCTTTAATGTGCAAATGTTTCCCTACAAGCCTGGCCGGACCGGCGCTCAGCTGGTTCAAAAACTTGCCTAGGAGCTCCATTGGCAGTTTCAGAGACCTGTGCGATCGGTTCATAAGCCAGTACTATGGGAACAAACGCCCGCCGAAGGACATCTCGAGCCTATTCACGATGCGGCAGCACAAGGATGAACGTCTCCAGGCTTTTCTTACCAGGTTTAATCTCACTAAGAGTATGGTGATCGAATGCCACCCTTCTACGGCAGTTCAAGCCTTCAAGTTAGCCATGACACGCGGAACTCCCTTTCACACCAGTCTGGTAGTGAACACGCCGGCTACCATGGATGAACTCAATGAGAGAGCCGATGGCTTTGTGCGCCTAGAAGAAGAGGAGGCAGCTAATGCTCGGACAACGTCGCTTGTGTCAACCGAGGAAAAGTCCAAGGCAAAGATCAGGCAGAAGCAGGCTCAGCCGCAGCGTCAGACCACCTGGAAGGCTGAAAAAAGGTCCAGGGAGGAAGAGTTGATTACTCCGCTGAAGGTCACTCTGGCGAGGCTGTATCAGGAGAACAAAGACAAGTTTCATCCACCACTGCCAATTAGACAACCCCTCGAACAGAGGGATCAAACTAAACATTGTGCTTTTCATTCTGATTTCGGACATCAGACTAACGAATGCAGGAACCTGAGGAGGCAAGTGGAGATGTTGATAGCTAGAGGGGAGTTTGCAAGTTATGTTCAAGGTTCGGCGATGGAGCAGAATCGACCGGTGGAACAAATAAAAAGGAGTCATAAACAAAGCTCCCACAATTCGCAACCAGTTCGTATAATCAATGCGATCCATGGTCGACCCGAGCCTAGTGAAGAGTCAGATGAGCTGCTCCGGGTGCGCCTGCGGCAGGCGCAGATGAAGAAAAGGGTCGGCAATGTGACCACTCTACACCAGCAGAGCCCGTCAATGCAGATAAAGTTCGACTGGACAGACCTGCAGCGTGTTCAACTGCCTCATGACGACCCGTTGGTAGTCAGTTTGACAGTGGCAGATTGCTTGGTGCGCAGAGTTCTGATCGATCCTGGGAGCAGTGCGAATGTTATGCCGAGGGACACATTTGACAGGCTCGACATTAAACCAGAGAGGCTCAAACCCACCGGAAATCCCTTATTAGGGTTTGATGGGAAGAGGGTGGAACCCGTCGGGATGGTGGAAGTGGAAGTTCAAGCTGCAGAACGAGCTCTTATGGAAACTTTTGTGGTCGTGGAAATTCACCCCTCGTATAATCTCCTGATGGGAAGAGGATGGATTCACAGAGTCCGGGGTGTACCCTCAACTCTGCATCAGGTCATGAGGTGCCTCGGGCCCAATGGGGATAAAGTAATAGACATTCGGGGGGATCAGGTCGCAGCCAAAGAGTGTTATTCCGTCACACTAAAGCATGCTGGGAAAGGAAAGGCGCTCGTCCGTTCGACAAGCCCCAGATAGCAATTACAGAAACCTCCGCCCGAGCAGAATAGGGTGGAGGAGTCAGTCGACTTGACCGAGGAGCCCCTTCTGGAGGTGCAGATCGATCAGTCCAGGCCAGAACGAACTACCAGAGTAGGTATAAGACTGACCAGAGAAGAGCAGCAAGAGCTAGTGGATTTTTTGTCCCACAATGTCGACGTATTTGCATGGAGTCACCTAGACATGCCTGGAATTAGTCCTTCCGTATCCTGTCATTCCCTGAATGTCAATCCTAATTTCAAACCAGTGAAACAGAAGCAACGAAGATTTGCTCCAGAACGTAATCAGATCATAGCGGAAGAAGTCGATAGGCTGCTTGATGCGGGATTTATCAGAGAGGTGCACTACCCTGAGTGGTTGTCCAACGTCGTTGTGGTGCAGAAGAAAAATGGGAAATGGCGAGTATGCATTGATTTCACCAATTTGAACAAAGCCTGTCCGAAGGACAGCTTCCCGTTGCCTAAGATTGATCAAATGGTGGATGCCACCACTGGGTATGAGCGTTTAACCTTTCTGGACGCATATTCAGGTTATAATCAGATTCCTATGGACCCCGCAGATGAAGAAAAAACTTCTTTTGTCACCGAGCGAGGAACATATTGCTACAAAGTTATGCCTTTTGGACTAAAGAACGCGGGAGCAACTTATCAACGACTTGTTAGCAAAGTTTTTAAGAATCAAATGGGTAAGACTGTCGAAGCCTATATTGATGATATGGTGGTAAAGAGTAGGAAAAGGATGATCATCTGAAGCATCTGCAAGAGGTATTTGATATACTAAAGCGATATGGGATGAGGCTCAATCCGACCAAGTGCTCGTTCGGTGTGAGTTCCGGGCAGTTTCTGGGACACGTGGTCAACCGCAGGGGCATCGAAGTTAGCCCCGCTCAAGCAGAGGCTTTGATTAAGAATGCTGAGCCAAAGACGATCAGAGAGGTGCAAG